ATCAGCAGATGCAACAAGGTGGGAACTTCAGAAGGAAACTTCATTTCTGGATACTTCGTATTTCACTGTTGCCAAATGTAATGTGCAAAGAGAAACTGAGCCCCACAGCTCACGTTTTAAATGAGATTATCTTCCTTAAAGATTGCTTATATTAATATTTGGCATAAATCAATTATGTGATGTCATGCTTCCTGATCATTAAACTTCCAAAAAGCACTGTGTACATCCTCAGAAATGCAGAAATGTACTATAATACTTAGGCAGGCACTATCATTCCACAGGTCTCTCATAGCTTTTTCCAGTTCACCTATCATACAATCTTTCTGTGAAAGAAATTGATAAAATGAGTAGAAATAGCTAAGGAAAAAAAAAAAACCACCCACACATATAAACTGAAGAATGGGGGAAGTTTTTGCTTTTTTGTGTGTATTCGGTTTGTATTTGTCCACTATTTGTTCAGGCCTCTCTCTTGTCTCTTGGAAGATAGTTTGCTTTTATCTGCTGTCTTGGTTTTCTGTTGCTCCTTATGGAGACAGTTTCATGTGCTGGATACATTTTATATTAACTGAGACGCCTGAATTCACTTTCTGCTCTCAAATTCCACCACTTAAAAATGACAAACTTCATTTCCTGTGTTTTCCTGAAGCTGCTGTTTCCTGAGCAGCTGGGATGAAGAATCAGCCCACCTCCAGTTTGATTCATAACCTATTCCCCTGTGTGTTACTCTGTGTTCTTTCACCCAACATAGAGTATATACTCCAATGATTTGCTTCAAATTGTAACTCCTAAGTGGGTTTCCCTCTTAGAATATGCACGTCTTTAAGAGGCTTTTCAAGTAGAACGTTACATGGAAAATTTGAAGAGAAGATGCACCCATTTTTATGTTAATGATTTCCTTATTAGGTGCTTGTAAACATTAGGAAATGGTTTGAAAAGTTACCATTTGCATGAGGCAATAGAAAATTATTTGCATCAGCTGTTCTGAACAGAAAATGCTGTAGTGCTGATCATTTTCTATACCTTAGGAGAATTGGCTATATCTGTGCTCATTTTAAGTCGGGTATTTTCCTCTGATTAGGGTCAAAAGGAAGTTGGAGGAAATTGCTCCCTTTAAATGTCCTGTTCTTTAAGGAGTTGGGTGGGTCCAACATCTACCCATCTAAGCTGTGAAAGAGAACTCTCTGATGTAATTTGCAGCAAAACCTGAGCTTCATCTAAGAGTTGTGGCTCATCAAACTTGTGAGAGTGGTTTTCAGGAAAGTCAGTATTGCAGATCCAGTACATTTGGTACTGCTGTGGCATGAAATTGCTGACTTGCAATTTTTCTTCTGGATCAACTGAGTCAGCAGGTTGAGTGTGTTTGGAGTTGTTTTATTTCCACATCAATTCTGCTTTCAAGTGGGTGCAGTGAAAATACATCACAACATTTCCTGCATTCTTTAGAAAAGTCATTGTTTTTAATTTTCCTTTTTACTTTGTGCACAGCTGCGACCCCTGGAAAAGAGAAATTCTCTTTATTCATATTTGACAAGCACTCAAGCTTAAATGTTAACAAACACCAGGGCAGTACATGACTGCACTAAATATGATAAACAGAAGTAGTTGTGGGGACCTTCCTATCCATTCTTCTTGGATGAGGGATTTTGCATGGGATCAACATCCTGCAACTGAGAGACACCTGGTCTTGCTTCTTCTCCTTTCAGACCTGAGCTGTGTTATCACATGCTGTTACTTAAAGCCAGAGAAGAGGGCTTGCATTTCACCCTACCCAGTCGTTTGTAGCATAAGCGGTGAGGAGTAATGAAGTGAGGGCCTGAAAAAAGACCAAAAGAACATGAGGAATTATACACTGCTGACAGAGTTGCTTTTTATTGAGGCACTTGCAGATGCAAGCTGGTTGCATGCCCTGGCCATGTCATCCGGTTACTGGGGCCTAGTACCACCTTTCCTCTTGGACAGCAGGAGCCGCAGCAGTGTGCAGCACACACTTGATGTGTGGTCTAGGCATGGCCTGGAGTGCCTTGGATTGCTAGAGCATATGAACATTTGTATTTGGGGTATAGAACTGAAGCCTGGAGGAATAACCACAGCTAGGAAAGAATGGATTGCAAGAGTGCTTGCAGATAATGAGATGTCTTGCAAGAGCTAGGAAAATGTAAAGGAATGAGGTATAACATTAGAAGGGTTACAGCAAAGAGAACAGGCTGCACTTATGAAAATCACTACTGTTGAAGACAGAGACAAAGCATGGCAGCTGTGTAGGAGGAGAAAGAATCACACTGGACGTGGACTAGGAGCAGAGGAGAACAGAGAAACAACTAATTGCAGAGAAACACAGTAGAGAATAGTCTGCCTGTAGAATCATAGAACAGTTAGGGTTGGAAAGGACCTTAAGATCATCTAGTTCCAACCTCCCTGCCATGGGCAGGGATGCCTCACACTAAACCATGTTGCCCAAGGCTCTGTCCCACCTGGCCTTGATCACTGACAGGGATGGAGCATTCACCACTTCTTTGAGCAACCTGTTCCATCACCTCAACACCTGACCCTAGGACACCCTCACAGTAAAGAGCTTTTTCCTTATGTCTAACCTCAAGTTCCACTGTTTAAGTTTAAACCCATCACCCCTTGTCCTATCACTATGGTCACTGATAAAGAGTCCCTCTCCAGCATCCTTGTAGGTCCCTTTCAGATACTGGAAGCTGCTCTGAGGTCTCCATGCAGCCCCAACTTTCTCAGGCTGTCTTCACACGGGAGGTGCTCCAGTCCCCTGATCATCCTTGTGGGCCTCCTCTGGACTTGCTCCAGCAGTTCCATATCCTTCTGATGTTGAGGACACCAGAACTGCACACAACACTCTAAGTGGGGTCTCAAGAGAGCAGAGAAGAGGGCCAGGATCACCTCCTTCAACCTGCTGGTCACACTTCTTTAATATACCACTGATCACTGAAGCGTTTTTTAGCAATTCTCTTGGTCTTGGTGTGAAGCATCTGTGTAAAGTAAGTATGCAAACAATACTTGGTTTTTTTTTTTGTGAAAATAACAAAACATGTAAGTCTGGTGGACATCACAAAAATATTAGAAACTATTATTCAAGAAAAATTTCAGCCTCAGACATGAAATTAGTAAGAACAACAGTAGATACCAACATGAGAGGAAAAAGACTGTACATTCACTTGGCAAAAGATGGGAACATATTTGTAAAGATGGTTTAAAAGCTTCTGGCATAGAGCACACATAGACTCAGAGCAAATATGTTCCATACATCACTGGAGCCTAACTTGCAGGTTGGCAAAGGCTTGAGTTGGAGTTTTAGTTTGATCGTCCTCTTCATATTACCTGTGACCATACAGTTGTGACTTTATTGCTTTCAAGCATTTCCTGCCTTGCATGATTTCAGCCTGTGTTCTCTTTGCTTTGGGGCTACTAGCAGATCCCCATGCCTTACAGTTTTTAGTAAAAGCTGTGGTATTTCTATATAACAGACTCAAAAGCTGAGAGCCTGGTGAGTGAAGGATATTCAGACAGAATAAATGGGCAAACCTTCAGACTTTGCTTCCTTATATGAGTCTGAATTCTCATAGATCTAAAATCTGCCAATTATTTTTAATATTCTAGATGGGAAATGCTTGGCTTAACCATGGTGGATATCACTAGGAAAAAAAAAAAAAGATTACATATGCACCATGTATTATATGTAACTAGCGGAAATCAGAGCTCTGTGGAGATTTTGTCTTTGCTTTCATACAGTCAGCTTCCTTGTACATTCCTCTGAAACAGCTGGTGCTGGCATTTGCCCTCTGCAGAACAGTGGCCTAGAGCTGCAATGCAGGCTGTGGAGGCAGGGATGAGAGGTACTTGGAGAAGAGAGGGCTGGAGAGAGCTTATGGACCCAGAATGGTTTTCTGCCAATGTTTGGGTCAATCCACTTGCTGGAGTAAGACAAAATCCACCAAGAGGCAGAGGAGGGACTGCCATACTCCCATTCTCTTGGTCATTTGGAACAACGATATTCATTTTTCCTCGTTATTATCTTCTGTGTTTCTGTGCAGAATATCAGATAAGGTTTGAGTCGTAATTATGTGGGAAAAGAGCTATTGAAAATATTCCTTTTGTGGGTGCTAGATGGCGCCGTGGATTAATGCTCCGGCCTTTTAACTGGGGGGCGTTCTGGGGCGAACCCGACTTGGTCAGGTAACAACTTGGCAATTAGTTTGTCTGTGGGAATTTAAGCCTCAATCAACGGAAATATTCAGATTCTTAAATCCTCCTGAGTGCCCAGCCTTTCCTGGACGTCAGCAAGGACTCAGCTGGAATCGTACCACTACAAAAGGGGCCATGGTACTCGGTGGACCTCCTGCAACAGGAGCCACTTGCTCACCCCAATGGTGGGTTCTAAAGTGACAGGTGACTGAGATAACAGAAATTCAGCATGTTTATTAATATGTACAGGTGGAGAAAAGTACAGCTGCTGGTGCTGCACCTGAGGTTAGTCTCAGCTCATCAACCATGAAAGTCTCTTTAGATCGTTTACATTATAAAAAGCAAAAGTAAGAAACCAACAACTCATAACTTCTTTGGCAATACTGAGATGTATTTCTGTTTTTTCAGGCTATTTCTGTGGTGGTGGTGTTAAAGGATACCTGGAATCATCCAAACTTTCTGCTGAACTATTAAAAAAAAAAAAAGTAAAGCACAATAGAATAAACTGGAAAGCTCATCTCTGCACAAATGTCAGCACACTGTTGTGCTTGGGATTTGTATTCAAAGTCTTGTTCTTTCTTTTGTGGGAAAGAAGAGCCTTACTTAAAAACAAATGGTTTATAAAACAATGCAAAAAGACGGGAAGACCACTTTATGGTGAAAAACTGAAAATTCAAAGAGCACCATGCGAGAACTTATACAACAGTCAGCAATCGGAGCAGCCACAATTTAGAGGATGACCAGTGGGGAATTGTTTAAAACGGGTTAAAGGTCCTGCTCAAGCAGATACAGTGAATGTTGCTCTGTGGAAGCATATGAAGCAAATTCAGAGATTACCAGCTTCAAACTCTCCAGCCCTTCATCATCATCATCATCATCACTGGCCACAGCTGTTAGCAGAAAGATAGCTGAATACCTGGCCTAGGAAGTGAGACATGTTTTGGAGAGGCTGAAACACTGTGATGCCATCGCCAGCCTCAGCTGTGTGGATAGGTGACAGGCCTCCATATTCAGTTGAAATGGCAGGCTTGGGGTGTACAGACCAGAGGTTTTTCTCTGTGAGTTCCATTTGTGATTAGAAGAACGCAAAGGGGATGAGGTAGGAGACCTGGGCACAGGCTATGCCTCTGCTGAGAGTCCTTTCCCACCCTTTCTACTCAGCCCATTCCAGTGCAGGCTCTGTGACTCAGCAGCCACTGGATAATGCTCTCTTCTAGTGAGTGCTGCCCTGACACAAACAACTGCCTTCAAGCTTCTAAAGAAAAAAAAAAAAAAAGGAAAAATATCTTACATAAAGCATCTTGAGAAGAAGCTCCAAAGGCTTGTTCCAGCAGAAAAAGGTATGTCTCCTTACTCATGGTGTGAGGGACAGTGCTGAGGGGACAGGCATTTATTATGGGGCACATTCTTAAAGCTTTACTTCTTCTTTCTATTTTTTCCTTACATTTGCTGTTTTATACTCTCTGGCAAGCAGCAGAGCTCCACCAATGCTGACTTGCATAGCCCATAGAGATACTAAGGAAATATTTTTCCTAGCAACAAGCGGCACATGAAAACACCAAGAAAAGCTTCCCCTGCTCATATTTCACTTCAGCTTTTTCAGTCATCTGATGCTGAGATAAGAGCTGAGTGGTGAAACTTGCTACTAGTGGGTATTTCACAGGGCAGCCTGGAAAAGGGGAGCGTATAAAAAACTTTGTGCCTGTTGTTAGCGTAGGGGACTGAAACCACTGTGGTGTGGTGACCACCATGCCGCCTGCATCAGTGCTGCTAGGTTGCTCCCATGCTGAGATACTCTCAAGGGGTTCCTAGCTCACTGAGGTGAATGGCGTTGCCTTAAGATGGCAGCCATGTCCAGGCTTGGAGATGCAGTGGATAAACAAAATGGTGCTGTCTGGGGCAGCTGTCTTGGGAGTGCTTTCTGAGGCACCTGTTCCCACAGACCCCAGCACAGGTGAGGCTCTTGGACATTGATCTAATGAAAACGCAACAGTTAATGAGAGCTGAAGGGATATGAGTTGGAGCCCTTGGTGCGGTGAGGTTGGATATGTGGGAACTCTGCCACTGCCGTTGTGAGGTAAATGGAGGAGAAATAATGGCAGCCTGTGCCCACAGGGCTCCCAAGGAGGCTCCTGCTTGGAGTCAGTGGGCAGGCATCCGCTACATGCTGGGGTCTGGGGAGCCCTGGCTGCAGCAGGTGCCCAGCACATGAGTACGTGCCATGGCCATTTCCTTTCCATTTATGTCTTTGAAACCTGAGGAGGAAAATGGGGATGGTGTTTTGTTCTAATATGGCAGTATTTTCTGTTTTCTACCTGCTAGTGGGACAGAGCTAAACTGTTAATGTTATTTTAGCTGAAGTGCAGTTTCCTGGGATTGAATTATTAGTGACAGGGGAGCAATGGCTGGTACTTGTGTCTACTTGTGAGTAACTCCCCTTCTTTTCTGTCCTTGCTCAGCCATGCTGAAATAGCATTCACAGATGGCAAAAGGCTTTGTCAACACCAGCAAATCACTACTTCTGCCTCCGCAAGGTCAGTGTTAAAAGGCAACATGTCTGAGACCACAGCTCTGCAACTGATGAACATAAATTGTCAAGAAGTGTTTAGGAGTTGCACAGTATTGGTGGGTAGAGCAAAAGCATTCTCATGGTAGAGCCAACCTCTGAATTTAAGACCAGCCTTGCACCCACAGGGTGAATATTTTATGAGTAACTTCAGTGGGGTTAGGATGAAGCCCAGGACGTTCTTGCTCGTCCCTTGATGGGTTACTTACAAGAAGAACATCTGCAACGTGTTTGTGTGTCATCAGTATGTTTCCTGAATTTGTCCTTTAGTATCTTAGAAGTATTTATTCTTTGGAAAAACTCAATATAACAAACTGAAAAGCTTTTTCTGCAATGCGACACATACTTCTGTAGTTGCTTAGAAATAGTTCACATACAGATAGAAGCAGATTTGTAAAATTGGTTTGAAAGCTGCATGGTAGGCAACTCAAGGAAGACATACATGTCACAGGATAAGAAACTAGCCTGCAGGCTTAAATTGGAGGTCAAAATCTTGCATTTTATGTGAATGAGTATCTGTGTTATAATATGATTCATGCAAACTCTGCTTAGTAATTACGTGGTTTCTGTGTGTGGAGCTGGAGCTGTTTTGTTTGGGGTTTGTTGGTTTTTTTTCAGTGAAACTGCAAATAGTCCCCAGTTACAGTGATTCAGGAAACTTTAGAAGAAAACTGAATTGTGAAGGATACAGTTTTAAAAATAATCTCTTGGGTTTTTTTATTGTTTTTTTTTAGCTGAACTTGAACTTTTAACGGGTTTCAGATTTCCCAGTCATTCGTTATAATTTATCCGGGAATTGTATTGCAGTGAACATCCTAACATGTAGGGACCAGACAGAAGACCTAAAGACTCTATTGTGTGAGGAAGGCCATGTTTTCTGTTTTATCCCTCACTTTTGAGATGAAAACAATGTGAGGAAATGGTGTGTTGATCAGTGTGTTGTACACATCTTGTTCTATAGAATGAGAGGGAGACAGGGCAATTGCCTTCAATCAATTCACATATTGTACTATGAGGCTGGTAAGGTCTGTACCCTGCTCCCTACATTGCTTAATGGCTTTTTGTTATTTATTTTCTGAGCTATTACTGAAAGATTCTAAACATAAGTCAGAGTACATTTGAAAGCATATATTTATTTTGCTACAGAAGTGGAAACATGCCTCTCCTTGCAGCTAATAATAGAATTGACATTGTTAAACAATTAAATTGGAAAATATTAATAATAGGTGCTTCATGCATATTAAACAAAACTTCAATAAGTGCTTTGTTTTATTGTTTAACTGTACGTATGAGTCATAAGGAAAGTGTTAATGTTTAGGATCGGATATGAATCATGAACAATCATCCAATGATCGATGTGAACAATCTTCCAATGCCAGCACTAGAACCCCAAACACATTTATTCTTTGTAGTTAGTAAGCTCTGTGCTTGGAAACTGAAAGTGTAATCAAAGTGAGAGTTTATTTATTAACTAGCGGATACTGTGCATCTTATTTACACAGATTGATAGTGGGAGGTGAAAAATAAGGAAAGAAGCTGGTCATGCATGGAGCTCTGTGTCCCTGGAGTACAAATCACAAAAGGAACCTGAGCAGCAGTAGCACTAGCTGCATTCTGTGATTTTAAAATTCAATCCCATATTCATGAAGGAAATCCATATGGCACCTTATTTGTGAGGAGAGGTGCCCCATTCTCTTAAAAGCTGACTTGAAGCATTTGTTGTTTTGACTGCTTTAGCATTAGGGTGAGAGAATTCACTTCAAGGTAGCAAACAAAACAAGTGAAATGCACAGGAGTAACTTGAGTGTTGTTATATATTGATTTGCATTACAGATAAAAAAATTTAATTACTGAATGACAAGCTGTTTGTGCTGGCTGTATTTGGGCATGCTCAGGAGATCAGGTTTTTTGTCGAAAGTGCTCTCACCTGGTAATTATTTGCAGTCATTGGTAATAAGTGTGTTTTTAATTGCCTCCTCTCTGGAAAGGTAGAAGGTGAAAGGAAGGCTTGAGTTGTCTGTTCTGCAGGAGGGACAGAGGTAGCTCATGCCCAGTATTATTGGCTGAGAAAAGTTTCTGAGTGCTAGCTGTGGTTTAGGGAAGACCTCTGGACACCTAGTTCAGTCTCTCATATTGCCTGACCTTGAAAAAGCTGGTTTTATTGTTTGTTTTCCCAACTGTTAAATGAATCCTGTAAAGCAATTGGTCAAGCTGCTTAGAATCCAATGCACAGTCCTTCCTTTACTCAAGTAATTGCTATTGAATTTTAGTTGTGCTGTGAGTGTAAGATTTATGGAACTGCTTTGGGATATGATTGTTTATCTAGCTCTGTGTTGGCATTCTCAGAAATCAAAAGTATACTTCTAGCAATAATAAAAATTTTAATGTTTCTATGTATCTGAGGCTAATGTAGACTTAGCATTCTAATCGTGCAAGATCATAAAAGTCTGAGTATTAACAATAATATTAAAAAGGAGTGAAAAGTAATTTAAGTAATCTGGAAAGGCTTTGACTGACCCACATATGAAGGGAGAATTCCTGGCCCTATGCTCCTAGTGCTGAACCTCACAGATAAGAAATTACATATATTTGCAAAGTGTGTTATACACAAACTGTTCTTCTTGAGAGCTTGAAGAACTGGTTTTGCCATGCACTGAAATATGACTTGTGCTCTCAGGTGACAGGATGCTTGGTGTCACACTTGGCACACTCCTGGGCTTGTTTGGAGGCTACTGCAGTCACCTCCATGTTGCTCTGTGGCATGGGATTTGTCTTTGAAATTTTGTGCACGTAAGTGTGAGTTGTTTTAACTTTTGATTTTTAAAGGACATACTGGTTAGTGGGCTAATCAAAGAGAGTTAATTGAAGGAGATTTGGTAGTGGGTGATCAAGCAGAAATACATCTATAGTAGGAGTCAGCAGTGATTTTACATGCAAATTTCATCTCCAAGAAATTTCCTAGTCTGTCCAGTTCTTTAGATAGAAAATTTTCTTTCTACTGTGTTAACATTCACATGTTTAAATCCAGGCTGTTGCACAGGGCTTACAGTAACAGAAACAAATATATAAAGAAAAAAGGCGGTTCAATTTGCTCTTTCAGTCTGTATTAATGTCCTGATTAAACAGCTCTTTTGAGTGGGGCCAGACCTGACTACCACTGCTACTTTCTTCTGTTGTAGAAACATAAATTGAGTTTTGATGAGGAATGCTTCCTCCCTCAGCCTGTGTTGATTTCTTTGTATTTCTAAGTGGCATGCCCCATCTGCTTTGTTTAAATGGAAGGAGTGAACTTCTAGTTTTGAAATAAAAGCAAATAAAACCTTTGCATATTGTGGAGATTGGCATTTCTAATTTTGTGACACCCTATAGGTCTCATCTTCCTTGTGCAATTTCAGTTAGTGTACATATGCGGCCTTACCAACCAATGGCCTAGTGTTGCTTTGTAGGAAAGTACTTTCTGGAGGCTAAAATAAAAATTGTACATCAGCATGTAATAGAATTTAAACATCCTATTGCAGACACTTGGGTCAGTCTGTGTTGCTGCTCTTACGACATTTATTGCTTGGTACCAAATAGTGTCACTGAATGTCAGTATCTGTAAATGTATCTATAGTTAGGTATCCAACTAAAACATTGCAGAAGTCAGGAAGGTGTGTTTGAAGAGCACATACATTGCAGCCTAGTATGAGCTCAGACCTCTTTCTCGCTTTTATATCTAGCGTGAGAACTACCCCAAATAAAAGAGACATCCCTGCAGCGCAGAGCTGTTTGAATTCCTCTTAATGCCTCTCCTTGTTACTGATGGTGAAGCATGACTAGAAATACAGATGGAGCTGATGCGCTATTGCTCTGTTGGTGTTGTAGTTTAACTCCGTTAGCCTGGAGGAGTTTAAAGGCATCTTACAACTTGTTATCTCTTCTGTGTAGTGCTCTGCAGTGCACATCCATAAATTAAGATGAAGTCAAGTAGTTTTCCTTATTTGTGGCTTTAGCAGTAAGTCAGATTCACTGAATTTTTTTTCTCATTGGAAGATGAAGTTTGTCTGCCATTTCTTGTCTTTCTGACTCTTGCCTGCCTTCAGCAGGGTCAGCTTGCTGCTTTCTCAAAGTTGAGAACTTAAACTTTGCTTCCATTCCTTGTCTGCAGGTTAAATAATGACTGTGCTGAGCCAATTAACAGAGAACATTCAGTTTCCTTATTGCTGATGAAAGGGATGGAACACATATCCAAATCCCATTAGTGGAAATCTAGTCCCGGCTGAGCTATGCAAGATTTTCAGAAAAAAATGTGCAAATATGAGGTATGAAAGAGGAAAAAAGAACTGATTTTATGAGCTCTTTCTGCACTATTGCAGTGTATTTAATAAATAAATAAATAAAAGTCCTTACTCTTTTGTCAGTACATGGTCAGTAATTGTTACTTAATGTTTTGTAGTTTGAAGGCACATGGAGTATTTATATAACATCAGAGTTACACATCTTACCCTAACAGTCTACAGACTTACAACCAACATACCTGCAAACCACCACAACAGCCTCCAGGCTCCTGGTGATGGGACTGTGAATGGAGGCAAACTAAAAATGGTCCCCTCAGAGTTGTGCTTTTTGGATATTTGTGTTTAGTGGTGCCCAGCTGCATACAGGAGTTGTTGAGTGCCTGACTTTTATCAGACCCTGTGCTGTTCAGAGAACAGAAGGAGCTGCTCTTTTTTTTTGTCCTGTACCTGTTAAAAGATCCCACGTGAATAATTCATTCAGTCCCAAAGTAGGGCTGAACTCTTGTGTTTCACAGTGGTTACCTTGGGGGAGGAGGACGAGGAAGGATTATCCTGTTTTTACAAGGGTGTGTAATGACAAGACAAGGGGGAATGGCTTTAAACTGAAAGAGGGGAGACACAGATTGTGTATTAGGAAGAAGTTATTCCCTGTGAGGGTAGTGAGAAGCTGCGGCTGCCCCATCCCTGGCAG